GAAAAAGAAAAACTTTCACCATCATTCACTCCATCACTGTCTTGCCAGAAGGGTGCTTTACACTACAGTTTTTAAACTGCAACATTAACACCCCTCCTTCAGAGTGCAGGCACTGTACTTCCCATCTCCAGGACTCAAGTCCGGCCTGCCGGTTTCCCTGAATCCCTTCATAAATGTTACTTTGCTCACACTCCAACAGCACGTCAAGTATTAAAAACCATTTGTCTCCATTCACTCCTATCAAACACGCTCACGCATGCCTGCTGGAAGTCCAAGCCCCTCGCACACAAAACCTCCTTTACCCCCTCCCTCCAACCCTTCCTAGGCCGACCCCTACCCCGCCTTCCTTCCACTACAGACTGATACACTCTTGAAGTCATTCTGTTTCGCTCCATTCTCTCTACATGTCCGAACCACCTCAACAACCCTTCCTCAGCCCTCTGGACAACAGTTTTTGGTAATCCCGCACCTCCTCCTAACTTCCAAACTACGAATTCTCTGCATTATATTCACACCACACATTGCCCTCAGACATGACATCTCCACTGCCTCCAGCCTTCTCCTCGCTGCAACATTCATCACCCACGCTTCACACCCATAATAAGAGCGTTGGTAAAACTATACTCTCATACATTCCCCTCTTTGCCTCCAAGGACAAAGTTCTTTGTTTCCACAGACTCCTAAGTGCACCACTCACTCTTTTTCCCTCATCAATTCTATGATTCACCTCATCTTTCATAGACCCATCCGCTGACACGTCCACTCCCAAATATCTGAATACGTTCACCTCCTCCATACTCTCTCCCTCCAATCTGATATTCAATCTTTCATCACCTAATCTTTTTGTTATCCTCATAACCTTACTCTTTCCTGTATTCACCTTTAATTTTCTTCTTTTGCACACCCTACCAAATTCATCCACCAATCTCTGCAACTTCTCTTCAGAATCTCCCCAAGAGCACAGTGTCATCAGCAAAGAGCAGCTGTGACAACTCCCACTTGTGTGTGATTCTTTATCTTTTAACTCCACGCCTCTTGCCAAAACCCTCGCATTTACTTCTCTTACAACCCCATCTATAAATATATTAAACAACCACGGTGACATCACACATCCTTGTCTAAGGCCTACTTTTACTGGGAAAAAATTTCCCTCTTTCCTACATACTCTAACTTGAGCCTCACTATCCTCGTAAAAACTCTTCACTGCTTTCAGTAACCTACCTCCTACACCATACACTTGCAACATCTGCCACATTGCCCCCCTATCCACCCTGTCATACGCCTTTTCCAAATCCATAAATGCCACAAAGACCTCTTTAGCCTTATCTAAATACTGTTCACTTATATGTTTCACTGTAAACACCTGGTCCACACACCCCCTACCTTTCCTAAAGCCTCTTTGTATGAAATATCTTGTCCTGCCACTGGGAAGGATTAATGGCATTTCAATTAATTTAAATGAGGCAAACTGATTTGATATATGAGCAAATTGAGTTATGAGCTAGGTCATGGAACGGATTAAACTCGTAAGTCGAGGTTCCACTGTACTTACTACTGAAACAGAGATGATTTTGGTTGGCTCCATGATCAGAACTATCTTGAAATCATGCTCAAAGTAGTGGAAATATTCAATTTTTGACAGTTTTCCTGAGGATAGGAAAGGCCCCCACCCTGATCTGTTTTATGGATTTTTACAAGGTCTGATACTATTATTGGGATGCTGTAAACCATGACCAATCACTTCTGGTTATACTTTATTATTCAAGAAACAAGGATATCCTCAACTTTTTGAGTGATGATGAATTCAAAATGAAGAGGCTGAGGACATGATTAAAACAGAAGAAACGCTGCTTTAGTACTAAGCCTGGAATGTCTACAGTGTTTATTCTGGACTCTTTGTTTTTAAACTAAAATTTTTTAATATTTTATAAAATTGACCGGATTACCTAATTCTGTGCACTTTTTAGGGTGGTTCTGAAGTTGAATGTACAGTTTCTTGTGCTCAATCAATAGTATATGGAAGGCATACTTGTGAAAAAGCTGTTTATTCTGGACCTTCATACAAGATTAACTATCAATTTTATAAAGCTGGTGAAGCTTTCATCCTTATCCCTTGTTCTTGTATCTGGTACCTTCTCTTATGATCTTAGCCAACCTCCACTTCATTTTCTTTTTCTGATCCAGTTGAACAATGGAATTGGCTGAAAAAGGACTCAAAATGGGCAAAATCACCTATGCATAAATTTTGCCCAGACCATTAACTTTGCATCTGTGTAATTCCCTAAGCTTCCATCTAATTTATTTTTGGTCATTACCCTCAGAAAAAGATTCTCTATTTCAGAAGAAAAAGGTAATTTTTTTTGTTTAAATCCCAACAGTGTTAGCATTTAGTCCTTTCACTGTTCAGACCCCCAAAATTAATATGGCTCCATGCCCACTTGAAAAAAAAAAAAAAATTCAAATGACAGAAAAACTTTTTCTGAAGGTAATAACACCAAAAGTACAAAACTGGTGGAAAACTTACTGAATTATGCAGGCACAAAGTTAGCAGTCTAGACACAATTTAAACACCGGCAATTTTGCCTACTTTGAGTCATACTGTAACTGAATTCCATTACTCCAGTTGACCAAATTCTTAGCTATTTCCATTCTTTCAAGTGAGTACAAGAAACTGCCCAGTCAAGTATTACAATTATCCCATAAAGTGCAAAGTTGGTAATTTGGCCAATTTTATACAAAATAAGAAAAATATCAAATTAAAAATATTTGGCCAGTTTTAGACAAAATGAGAAAAATATCAATTTCAAAATAGTGAAAAATAAACAATGTAGATATTCCTCACACTAAAATAACATTTCCTCTGTTCATTTACCATGTCCCCAAGTCTCTCCTATAATACATTTGCCTTCCATTTTGAATTTATATCACACAAAACTAGAAGATTTACTCTATATCCTCTTATACATCAATGCTCTTCTAAATGTATCACAACACCTGAAACCAATTTTCTTTGTTGTCGACACAACTTATGTCATCTCCCACCCAAATCTTGCCTCACTCAACACCCTAGTTAAAGAAGAGCTCCTGAAAATATCAACTTGGATAACTGCCAATAAACTTACACTTAACACTGACAAAGCCTTCTATATTCTGTTTGGTAACAGAACAGGTGTTGCACAACTTGACATTAAGATCAACAGTGCCCCTACTGCTAAGCATAATGAGGGCAAAGTCCTGGGCCTACACCTTGACAGCACCCTGAATTTCAGCACCCATATCCAACAGGAGGGGTGTTAATGTTGCAGTTTAAAAACTGTAGTGTAAAGCACCCTTCTGGCAAGACAGTGATGGAGTGAATGATGGTGAAAGTTTTTCTTTTTCGGGCCACCCTGCCTTGGTGGGAATCGGCCAGCGTGATAATAAAAATAATACATATATCCAACACAACAAAAAAGTATCCAAAACTGTTGGGATCCTCTCTAAGATACTTTACTACATAACGCAATCAGCCCTACTCACATTATACTATTCACTCATCAATCCCTACCTCACATTTGCCATTTGTGCTTGGGGATCAACAGCAATTACCCACCTAAAGCCAATAATAACTCAACAAAAAGCCACAGAAAGAATTATCACACAATCCAATGCTAGGCAACCCCCCCCCCCCTCCACTCTTCAAAGACCTAAACTTGCTCACTGTTCAGAACATCCACACTTACTATTCTGCAGTCTACATTTACAGAACCATAAATTCCAATATTAGCCCTGAACTAAAACACTTTCTTGATAGTTGTGACTGGACCCTATGACATTCCCCGTGTCCGGCTAAATCTATACAAAAATTCATTGTACATAAAAGGGCCTAAAATCTGGAACTGCCTGAAATCTTTAGAACTGCTGACTCAACCACCATTTTCAAAAGCACCATTAAAAAACACCTTATCTCCCTAACACACACCACCGGTAGCTAACCGCATGAAAACTACCTTAGCTTGCACATATCCAAAACAAAATACACTTATTTGATATCTGTGACCCCCCCCCTCCCCTAATTTACACTAATGACTGACAACATAAAATTCTGAATATAGCTTTTGCTACATAATTCTTAAGCTAGTCATAAGTTTGTCTAAGACACTCCATTATAGGAGCTTTAATAGAAACTGTATCATGCCAAGATGAGACCATTCCCATTAATTGATAAACTGTTAATTTTTTAAATGTTTTGAACTACCTCACTTTTGTAAATCTAGTTAATCACTATAGCTGCCTCACTTTAATACTAGTATGGTCCATAACCTGTGTCAATACAGAGTAAGAAATAGTATTACTCTGCTCGAAATGCCTAGGCATACCTAGTCATACTAGTGGCCTTCTTTGTAATAAATAATTTATAATATGCAATATTTTATAATATGTAAACCCCACATAGCAATATCAATAGAGATATAAAGAATTTTAATTTTAATTTAATTTAAACCTGGAATGATTTGGTCATGGTTTATGGTGTCCAATAATTCAATCAGACCTATTAAAAACCTATAAAATGAACTGGGGTGTGTGGGGGGATCCTTACCTGTCCTCAGGAAAATCAAACATTTCTGCTACTTTGAGCCCAATTTAAAGCTTTATACTTCTCTCTTGAAACCAGCCAAAATCATCTCTTTAGTAGAAAGCACCTCAAAGTAGCTATTTTAAACCAAACATATAAACAAAGTTTAATTTCTCCCATCATGCACTACATGGGGCAGGATTTTTTTTATACTATGCACATTCACTGCATAGGCCCATCCTTTCAAATCTAAGCTAAAATTTTCACAATGTATCTGAGTGAGCTGAGCTCATGACATAGAACTGTGCGAGGGACACTGGCCTCAATGATTTAGTTCTATACATTGGCCACTTAAAAGGGTTAATTTAAGGGCTTCCAACAGTGAAGGGGGATTAAAGTGACTAAACAAACAAAATTTACAAGTACAGTACAATGTACAACTTACCTATACTTTGCCCTTGGATCCAAACCCCAGGATCAAGTTCCCTGCTCAATGTTGTGAGCAAAAACATCCAAGCCTGATTTGGGGCAATTTTTTGTTATACAAGTTTTACACCCTGAATTTGGGCACAGACACTCCCCCAAAGATTGAAGAGGTCCTGCATTTATTTATTAATGTTAGAAAAAATGAATTCCCAGTGAAATCCCAGAGGTTTGGGGTGAGGGCCCTATGCCCCAAATTCAAACAAAATTTTTGGGGGACTGGTAGTTCACATTCTTTAAATAAATATGTTATACAAAAATTCTTCAACCTGCCCAAACCTTTGGACAAAGACCTCTTACACTGTGGATGGTCCCACTGTATCCCCCCACCTTGCTTCAAACCCCTGACTACAGTATATAGTTACCTCTCTGCCCTATGCTGTACTTCCTAAAGAGTGTGGATGAACACATCGTTTCCGGTGAGGGACTGATTCCCTCAAACTCCTCCCCCCCCCAAAACCCCTTCCTGTTTTGTGTTGGTTTGTAAAGCCCTGTGTGGCAAAACACTTCTTCAATAAAGTTTCCCCAAATGTTGCAAAAGTGTCTCAATTCTAAGAACATAAAAGGAGGAGCACTGCAGAAGGCCTATGGCCCCATCAAGGCAGGCCCTTATCAAACCCCCCCTCCCCAAAACCCCAAGAATTTACCCCCTCCCCAGGACACCAATCAAACCCAGTCCCCCCCATCTATACTTTTCCAATCTTTTTTCCCCCTTTTCGGGGTCCGTCCCATAGATTATGGCTTCCTTGATGTTAAAAACCGTAGTTCTATCCCAAAAATTCTACCCCATCAAATTTACCGAAACCCCATGGGCCTACATGGAGAGAACGGTCTGCTGGTGGGTGTGCGCCAAAAACAAAAAACTAGGCGCCCCCCCAAGCTTGGGGGAAACGCCGGTCGTTCCCTTTTGTTACCAGCCTGTCGCAAGTCAGCTCTCACTCCCCGGAAAATTTGGGACTCTCTTTTCCCTATCTGATGTTTGCCCCTGGGGGAAGGGGGAAATGAAGACGAATTCTACGGTTTGATCTTTAGTGCCCGAAAAAATGACCAGGATATCGATAATAGTGCAGAAAACCTGGGTCCTCAACCTTCTACCTCTGGTGGGGGCACTTGACCCCGGGGTCGGTTTTTCCCTCAATGCAAGAAAAAAACTAATTTTTCGCATGGCCAGGCTCTGACTTCAGTAAGAGATGATAGTGACGGGGATTGTGATTTTATTGTGCTCGACGATATTCAGTAGTGAAAGTAGGAATCTTTTCACCAGTGAAGGTCGGATGTTCCCCGCCGCATCGCTGGGTTGTCCCCTATGCTGTCCCCCAGGGGAGGAGTACATCCCGGGAACACCCCTGGCCCTCCCCAGTTTTGGGTAGTAAGTGGGTATGTGGCTACTTGGCATGGTAACCACAGGACCCAGTGGATGGTTTTTGGGGTGATGGAGTGGCCCCCGCCTGCGTGACTCACCAGCCCCGCGGGGACCCACACTGCGATCGCAGTTAAGGACAAAGCGGGCATCACCCCCCACCCCCCCAAAAAACCACACCACCCGCAAAACCACCTATGATGTCCAGTATCCCAGAAAACCATATGGGGGATTGGCAGAAAAACCCCAAATTTTGTTCCCAAGCCTCCCACTTTGATGACTCTAAAAGTGGAATTCTACCTATTGCCCCCTTGGAACCACGCCAATAAAAGGAATTTTTGAATTTTCTTTGCCACCATTGAGGGAAAAACTATTTCAGGGAAATAAAAAGTATTTTGAGTACACCAGGCAATTCGATCTTATCCCCAGTCAAGAAAAGGTGGAAAGAACGACTGTTGCAGAAATGTATTTGCTTTTTGAAACAATAATGCTTTGCCTATTTATAAGCATAATAAAAAAGCATTGGCCCACAGATGGGCTAATTTCTACCCGGTCTTCGGGTAAAATCATACCATAAAAGGGTTTATTTTACTTCAAATTTTTTGCACTTCCTGACAAAAACAGGCCTGACAAAGTGAATTTTTTTAAACAAGATTAAAAATGTTTTCATTTATCTCAAAAAAAAGTTCAGCAATATTTTATCCATTCAAAAATTTTGTAATTACGAGTCTTTGATTTTGTTCAAAGGCAGACTGATTCAAGCAGTAATCCCGGCAAGGGGAAACGCTTTGGATAAAACTTTTTGTACTTGTGATTGTGAAGGGGCCCGGTTTTGGATATTTTTTGATACAGGGGTGAAAAAACTTTAAAAGTACGAAGATGTTTTTGGGGGTTCTCAGGTGACGTAGTGAGAAACATGATGGCATTTATCTTGGTGGGGGCTACTTATATCCCGAAAAAAGGGGTACACAAGCCCATTACTCAGTTTTCATGCATGTGAACAAGACGATGTGTTGGCACAGGGTTTTCTAATGTAAACATATGCCCGGTCAACGCGGTGCTGGGGTGATGACGTGCGGTGTTTACTGCCAGTGCATCAGGCATTACGGTGGCATGAAACGGGGTTTGTAATTGTTAAAAACCATTCCCGAAATGAAATGCAAAAAGTGGAAAATTTGATCGAGTGACTAATAACGTATTCGAAAACATGCTGATTGATTAACACAAAACAGCGCTTGGTTGACAAATGTGCGTGCAGTTGGTTTTGTTGATGTGTTGTAAGAGTTACAAGTGGTACAAAAAACTTTTCTTCCATCTCATGGACATTTCAATGCTCAGAATAATATGTCCCAAATAAAAGACGGCAACAGCCCACCGTATGGTGAATTTTTGTTTGTCTGTTGTCAGACAATCTAATAAAGTACCGGTAAGAAACCTGTATCAACAAGGCCTCGAATTACCAGGATATACCCAAGCGTTTGGGGAGGGAGGTGTCATTTCTATACAATTTCCTTCAACTCAGAAAAAATTTGCCAGAAGGATGCATTTGTGCACAAAAAAAACGACGGCAAAAAAGAGGCAAGCACTCGGTTTTTGTAAAAATGTAAGGGGGCCTCGTCTGGTGCCTTGTTTCAAGGAGTTCCAAAAGCTTAGCGTTCTAAAACCATGCCCCTGATTTAAATATTTAAATATAGAAACATTAGTATTATAAAAAGATTTGTAATTTTTAATTTGTAAAAAACAACAGTGGTAAACAATAAAATAAACTTTATGCGGTTATTGTGTTCAATACAGTGAGTTTTTTAAAAAAAAAAAAATTTATTATTTGGTCTCTCGGGCCCCCAAATGTTGTAGGATGAAAAAAAGGGAAAAGAAAAGAAAAAAAAGGAAAAACCCAAAAAATAATGTAATGCGTGTTGTGGAATTCGTCGATGTTGCCGCCACCCCATCTTTTTTGGGAAAAACTTTTTTGGCCTGTATCTCGTAAGTATGATCAAAATTTTTTTTTGTCTTATCCCTTTCACAAAAATATCTCTTTAATTCTGTAAGAAAAATCATTTTTTTTTTTTTTCAAAATTTCTTGGCACGGAGCACCATTTCAGAATTTGGCCTTGGACCCTAAAGGGGTTAAAAAGCAACCCAAAGGCCCTACCTTGATCACTTATCAAAGACCTTCCCCTCCAAACTCTTTTTTGAAAACCCAGTACTTCCTATGTCCTTTTTAAAATCAAATTTTTTTTTTTTTTCAAAAGGGGGTCGTCTCCCCCCCGGGGAGGGTGACCCAAAAAGAAAGAAAATCCCAAAAAGAAAATATTTTTCATCATCTTCAACACTTTCCCCACACTCACCTTTATCCTGCTTTTCGGGGTGTCAAAATAAAAACAGTTTAGAAGATATCGATAAAGATCACAAAAATACCCCCAAAACCTCCCAATTCCCAAACCCCTCCTTTAAGTGCAGGCATTTTATTTCCCATTTCCAGTATCAAATTTAAAATCCATTATTCCTGGTTCTTACCGGCTCGACACCCTGTTCTTTTTTAATATCCCTTTGTTACCCCCCATCACCCATTATACACCCGTGATACTCCCTCATTCTACGTTCTTGGAGGGGAGATTCAGGCTCAAAAGACTATATTCTAGGGGAGATTCCTACTGATCCCTGGTGAAGATACCGCCCCCTTTTCCTCTCGAAGCTTTACCTTGCCCGCAGTTTTTCGTTTATCCACAGACCCATTTTCTTTTGCTGCAGTGTACGTCCTACCAAATAAAAATATGTGTTTATTTTAAATAAAAAAAATTTCCAATAAAAAAAACAGTAAAATAGATATGTATAAAAAAATTAAAGTGAACATAGAAAAAGAGAAAAAAGTGATGGGTTAAAAAAATACTGGGCAATGATGGGAGTGATACAGATTGTAGGGAGGGAGCACAGAAGTGGGAGATGTATTTAGCTTTGGGAGGGAAAACATCAGCAGAGGGGGTTAGGGAAATGAGGTGAACCAAAAATAGATGAAAAGATGGGTGGTGTACAAAAGACAATGTGGAAAAAAAAGAAGTTTTTGTAGGGGGCACAAAAAGGGAATGTATATAGGAATGTGATTTTTTTTATGTTCCTTGAAAATGTGGAAGTACAAAAGGTTGAAATTTCCTATTCTTTCACAGTAATTGTTTTGCATATTCTATTCCTTGTTACGTGTTTTTTTGCAAAAATGTTGTATAAACATTTTTTTTTTACAGTTATGAGTGTGGGCAGGGTTTTGAATTTTGCAGTGAAAAAAGGCTGAAGCATTAGCAATGTCATATTGAGGAGGGTTTTTTAAAAGTCATTTTGAATTGTCAATAGAGAGGAGGACATGGATGGTTGAAGAGGGGGTATAAACCCAGGGTAAAAGGTAAAAAGAAAAGGGTCATCCCAAGGGGGTAAAACTTTGGTTTTAGGGCTTGGCATCCAGAAGGCGTCCAGTTGATTTAAGTGAATAGGACAAGTTTTTAAAGGGGGGGGAGCCCGGTTTTTTTATAAAGGGGATCAGGGAAACGGGTTAGATGGATTTGAGTTCTAGAGGTGGGTAGTACTTGCATTCTGAAGGGGGGGTGGGGACGGTAGTCGGAGGGATAACCTGATT